CGAAAGGCATCGTTTCGAATTCGTACAATCCTTGTGGTAGGATGAACGCCGTTTTTTGGCGGTCTGCCGGTCCTACTTCCACTTGCCAATAGCCGGACTTTAGGTCCAAAGTGGAGAACCATCGGGACCCAGCTAAGGCATCAAGAGTACACTCGATACGTGGTAGAGGGAACGAATCTCGTGTGGTTATTGCGTTCAAGCGTCTGTAGTCGATACAGAAACGTATTTTGCCGTCCTTCTTTGGAACTAAAGTTACTGGCGATGCCCAAGGCGAACGGGAGGGTTTAATCACCCCCGTCGCCAACATACTATCTAATAGCGTGTCAACCTCCTTCTGCAAATGGGCTGGGATGCGCCGTGGCGGCTGCCATATAGGTTTCGCTGTGCCGGTTTCAATAGCATGTCGTATACAACTGGTTCTGCCCAGAGTGTACTCGTCCCACGCAAAGACATCGTGAAACCCAAGTAACATCCGTTTGAGTGTCTCCGTCTCTATATCGGCCCGGTCTGTCGTGGGTAATATATCGTCAATGGACGTCGGGGGAATTTGAACTGCCGCTTGGATTGCGGCACAGGCAGCCGTTTCGCCTACGACCTGGGGCTCAGACGGGCCCTCCGCGTCGGTATGTCGGAATTCAACTCGCCTATTCCGTAACGCGCGAGGAAATCAGTCCCGAGGAGTATGTCCCACGTAAGGTGGGGTGTTATGATAAAGCTATGTTCAGCTGTGAAATAGGGAGCGTCAAGGTGAGCGGCACGGTCCCGTGGTGTAATAAGCGTGATCCGTCGGCCGTGGTCAATCTCCCTGGGTGGGGAATGTCCTTACGCTGGCGGTGGATACCTGGTTGTAAGACCCGCGGGTCAACTAGGGATACCGTCGCTCCCGTATCAATCAACGCTCGTACAGTCTGACCAGCTACGGTTACTGTGGCATAAAAAGGGGTAACTGATAAAGTTGAGCTGGTGCAAGAAGAAATAGAGACCGTACCCGTTGTCCTCTGACACGTACAGATATGGTTGTTGTGAAACATTTGTCCACCTGGCCGGCGGAACGGTTGTCCTCGATGATTGAAGGGTGGCCGTGTTTGGCCTCTGAAACGTCGTGGGGGATAGAAGGTACTTCGTCCCGCGGACGTAGATTGGGCATCTCGAGCGTGTGCGTCTTCAGGGGGAAGGGGACGGGAGGTTGAAGGGCACAATCGCAGGTAGCGTTCGGCCCTGGTGACGGCCTGTTGTAAACTGTCCGGCGGCTGCAACAATAGCGAGCGTGAAAGGTCGGATGCCGGCAGTGCTTTAATGAAATAATAAAGTACTGTGTTGTCTTTATCTTCGGAGCCCAAAGAGGGGAACGCCACAGTCGTCAGGCGTTCTAGATCCTCCACCAGCTGAGTAAGGCTTTCATCTTGGTTCAATCTCGGTTGTTGTAACTGTTCCATTGCGTCACCGAAGGAGTACGTATGGCTGAACAGGTTGGCCAGGCGTTGGCAAAGTGTGTCAAAGGCTAGGTCGGCGTCGAGACCAGCGTCGAGCGCTTTATCCAACTGTTTAGGCGCGAGGGCCTTGAGTAATGTCCAGGGCCGGTCGGCCTCTGAGTTCTCCCGCAAATAGAATTTTGCGCGTCTGAGCCAAACTGTAAAAGACTCGGTACCATCGTAATGCGGTATGTCGACGGTGCGCATTGTGTTTATTTCGTTGCCAGACATGTTCAGGGGTTGTGGGCACGGTCGTTGCGCTGTCACCACTGTAGTAGGCGGACCGTCCTGGGGCTTCAGTGAGGAGGCTGGTTCCTGGCTTACGTCGACTCGCTCGATAGAAGGAGATGGGGATGGGGCCGTCTTCACCTTTCCTGAACGGTTGGGCTTAGATTTCGTCATCAGGCGATCAGACAAGGTCTCAATGCACAGACGTAATCCGAACAGTCGAAAAAGATGTAACAGGTAAACGATATATTGGGAAAAGGGGAGCAGTACGAAAACGAGAGGACAAGGGAGGTGAAAACGTGGAATGTCTCAAGAGGTAAAAGAGGGAAGCGGAAACACTCGCTGATCAGGGAGGTGATTTCGGCGGTACGATATCCACGGGGTCCTGGGTGTTTCCTTGCGGACGTTCGCTGTCCTCACCTGAAATACCAGAGGTAAGACGCACTCAAAACACGCCACGAAACCTCCCGCCTCCTTCTTTCCCGCTCGCCCGTTTTTTCTCTCTTTTAAACAAACTTGCCTTTCCGGTTCTTACAAGTGAATTCAGTTTCAAACGCTAGGACGCAAAATATTTGTCATTCCACAGATGTCCGATTAATAAAGCGTCTTTTTACAGTCGTCCTCAGTGCCAAAAAGCTTAATCCAGAAATGGAGTTTTAAGCAAAATCTACAAATGTTTGCTGAGTCTGTTGCCCAGAAAAAATGTCCCTTGCAAAAACCATTTCCTTGCCAGCAAATGGGCGAAATGTCTCAAAAACAAAAATAAATCAGAAACTCCCTTTTGTTTCTTTTCTGACTTGCACTAAACAAACAAAATACAATGCTGATAGTTTGTGCTCTTTTCGACAGGCAACAATATGTTATTGGCTCAGCTGCACTGCAGAAGTTATGCCGAAGGTCACTTATGGCCTAGTGGTCTTACCTCAGTTCATTTTAAAAACAAACAAAGCGAACACCGATTCATTCCCTTCTTAGTTTTCTTGTGTATATGTCTGAAAACAGGGAGCCGATATAATCCACCAGGCGTATCTTTAGCTAGACCCACTTTTCTGTATGTTCCGTTCATTCCAGTTCAGATTATTGAGAGGAATGGGCCTGGGCCATTGAATACCCTGTTCGCAACGTGAAGTTGGGTGTAGAGAACAGACAGGCCATGTGGGCCGACGCCCTCATGTTCGCGGACGACATGAAAATATGGATGGAAGTCAAGTGCGATGATGGCGCAAAGAAGTTGCAGTCAAACATAGACAAACTGTGTGTTTGGTCAATCAGATGGCTTTTGAAGTTTAACGTGTCCAAATGCTTGGTCTTGCACTTGAACACCGGCCGGCGTGCCTCTTCCCAGCACCAGTACTATGTTAACGGGACGGCGTTAGAAAATGTTGAAAGACTCAGAGATCTGGGTGTATGGACGACCACAAATCTAATGCCATCAGAACACTGTAGAAAGATGGTCAAGAAGGCACCTAGTACTTTACACTGGATTAGACGTGCATTTAAAATGTTCCCTCCAGAACTCTTCGAAGGACTTTTTGGTGTCTTTTTCAGACCCCTCTGGAGTATGGAATGCCAGCAGCTTCATTATGTATGAGGAAGGATATTGACTCACTTGAACAGGTGCAACACAGAGAAAAAGGAAGGTGGTCGACGGTGTAAAGCATTTGTCTTATCAGGAGCGGCTGAATGTGCTTACTTTATTTCCTCTCTCTTATAGGCAGCTAAATTGCAGTCTCCTCTGGAAAGCCCGGATTGTCCGTGGCCAAGGTTTCTCAATAAGAACGGAGAACTTTTTGAGTTTCCCCGTACTAACCAATTACGCTGTCATACTTACGAAGTCAAGAGTGAACGCACACGGTTAGACCGTAGGAAGTTTCTATTCAGCCAGCGGGTTATCCGACTATGGAATACGATTCGCACGTTTAAAAGAAAGCTTTCACGCTTGATTTTCGACAGAAACCGGCTTTTATAACACGACTACTAACAGCCAGCTCTGTAAAACACTTTGTCCTACACAAACTTTCCGTACTGACTTACAATGAACAGATTCGCTTCCATATCATTACGATCGTACTATGATCCGATCACATTGTAAATGTCTGCAACGTTATTTTGGGTGCGAATCTGCGAAAGCATTCTGCCTAAATAGGGTCATCAAGGTCTCTTCCCCTAACCCTTCAAATACATACACACATGCATACGTAGATACATACATACACAACAGTTCGACCGTCGATTTCGACGATGTCCACCGTGTGCCCCACAGCTGCAGCAGCGGTGGGAGCAGGGACGGTGACTTGCGCAGGGGTTTATAGTGCCAGTAGACTTGCGTTGCATCTACCTACACTCTCTCCTCCTCCCCCGCCTGGGCCCGGTGTCAAGACAGAGTCAAGAAGACCGGAGACGAGGGAGGCCGCAGGTGGATGGCTCGGACGGATCCTCACCTTGGCGTTCCACCACACCCCCTGGTCCACACAACAATAACCAGGATTTCAACCAACACAACAGAGATTTGGAGGCTGGCACGGCCGAAGCCGCACCTGGGCGTGCCGCCAACGCCTGGCTCGGATCCCACACTGTGGTGAGAGTGCCATAAAGGCCACATTAAAAAGGAGCCATTGCAGCCTGACTCTCAGACCGCCTCCCGTGAAGGAGGAGGTCCAAGGTACCCCGTCAGTTGGCAACCTTCCAAGCCACGGCTTTTAGCGCAACGTGATAGCTTCAAGCGCGTCAGATTGTTTATAGTGAGGAGAAAGTGCGCTGAGTCGTCGACCTCACTCTCCCTTCCCATTCGAACACCCTAGCCGCTGTCCGAGCCGGTCAGTAGACTGGAGTGGGGAATGGGCGCGGTGGCTGACATGGTCGACTGACCATGCCTGCGCGCGCCACAGCACGACCTGGCCCCCCATACACACAAACACCAGGATTTCACACAACGGGGGTTGAACGGCGTGTCTCTCACTTGCGTGAGAGTGCCGTGGAAGGTGCTGTTGCAGCCCGTCCCCAGCCCACCAATCCGCCACTCCACACAACACACACACACACAACGTGACGAACTGCGTGAACCGAGAGCGGGCCTCAATCAGCAACCTTCCTATCCACGACACTCGACGTGTCGGGATGGTCTCGGACACGAGTCACCCGTGCAGCCGAAACCGCATGGGGACCGAGTCGAGATGCACACTTCCCACTTGCGTGGGAGGCGGCAGTTGAGTGCATGAGGTGTGTGAGTGTTGATGTCTGGTGGGGTGATGGTGTTAGGAGGTAGGGAGTGAGGGAATGTGTGGTGTGACCGGCGGTTGTCTACCGCAGGTCGTCGTGGATGCGCATGTGGCCGAATAGACCCATGCGATGCCTGAAGGTGCGAGGGCAGTGTGGGCAGTGGAGGCGAGTGCGGTGGGTGTAGGTTGGTGCTCCAGGCACTGGTTCGCCAGTCTCTGTGCGATGGATTCGCAAGTGACCGACCAGGCCGATGCGTGAAGTGAAGGTGCGATCGCAGTGAGGGCAGATGTAGCCCTGGCCCTCACGTCTGATGATGGAGGTTGCAGGGGTTGTGCCTGTTGTTGTGTAAGGTTCGGCTGTGGTGAGGTCGTGGGCGACAGACGCCGAAGCGGCCGTCGTTGTGGCAGTGATGGAGGAAGAGGAGGAGGAAGGGGAGGAGTGAGGGGTGGTAAGGTCGGTGGCGTCGATGTCGGCTGGGGAGTGGTTAGTGGGTGCACAAGGTGGTGGTTTGGGAGTGGGGCTCGGCGGGGTGGATGTGTCAAGGCTGCGGTCAATTCCGCTCTGGTGGATGCGCATGTGGCCGAATAGACCCATGCGATGAGTGAAGGTGCGAGGGCATTGTGGGCAGTGGAGGCGAGTGCGGTGGGTGTAGGTTGGTGCTCCAGGCACTGGTTCGCCAGTCTCTGTGCGATGGATTCGCAATTGACCGACCAGGCCGATGTGTGATGTGAAGGTGCGGTCACAGTGAGGGCAGGTGTAGTCCTGATCCTCATCACTGGAATCGGGAGAGATGGGAGAGGTGATGTTGGTTGGTGTGTTGGTGTTGGTGATGTGTGAGACAGCAGTCTGAACGGCCGCCGCAGGGGCAGTGGAGAGGGAGGACGACGACGAGGACGAGGAGGATGGAATTGGTGGTGCAGAAGGAGTGTCAGAGTTAGTCGGCGGAAGAGAGGACGAGGAAGAGGCGGGCGGGGGGACGATGGCTGGAGCAGTTCAAGAGGTGCAGTTGGTTCGGAGATGTCCAACAAGTCCGATTCGTGCCCGGAATGTCCGTTGACATCGAGGACACGTTGGGAGCGGTTGTGCGGCGGCGTTGCGGACTGGGCGAAATTGTGATTTGCGGGCTTCGCGTTTCGCTTTGGCGGCGGCGATTCGGTTGGCTTCATAGATAGCAGCGCCCGTCTTCACTGTTCTCCTCCATGCCGGACGATCGCGAGCGAGCTCTTCCCAGTTGGTCGGGTTGATTTGCAGGCGCTTCAGGGAGGACTTCAGAGTATCTTTGAAACGGCGAATTTGGCCTCCTTGACGACGAGAACCCGTCGCGACGTCTCCGTAGAAGAGTCGTTTGGGTAGTCGCTCGTCGTCCATGCGCACCAGGTGGCCGCTCCAGCGCAGCTGCATTTGTTTCAGTATGGCGTAGATGCTGAGGATTCCCGTTCGTTCCAGTACTTCCGTGTCGGGGATTCGATCCTGCTAGTTCAGCCTCAGGATGCGACGGAGACAACTGAGGTGGAAGTGGTTCAGTCGGCGTGCCTGTCTCGTGTACACCGTCCATGTCTCTGCTCCGTACAGTAACGTCGGCAGGATGACGGCCTTGTACATCTTCAGCTTCGTGCT